CTAAATCTTCATGTTAAAATTCAAATAAGAAAATTTTATGCAAAACTTGAAAAAAATTGTATTGAAAAAGATCCACTCAATATCTTTAAATATATTAATAGACATTCTAAAAACAGCAATACCATTCCATCCTTATTAGTAGATGGTGATTATGTTTATGATGACAAACACAAATGTGAAATATTTGCTGGATCGTTTTTTCTAGATTCTGATACTAACTTTATTATTCCTGAACTCATTAATATTAATCCTAAATTCATCGATGATATTGAAATTGACTCTAGTAAATTATTAAAAATGTTAAATTCACTCCCTAACAAGGAAGGTCTATCACCTGACTTTATATCCTATAGATTTTTAAAGAATTGTTCTGTTTCTTTAGTTTCCTATATATCTGAACTTTTCAGAATCTCCCTTGACTCTGCTATACTTCCAAATATCTGGAAGGAATCTATAATAATTCCACTTTTTAAAAAAGGAAATAAGGAACTAGTTTCTAACTATCGTCCAATTTCTATTACTTGCTCATTATGCAGAGTAATGGAAAGATTTATCTTTAATGGAATCCTAGAATTTCTTTTAGAAAATAATATTATATCTCCTCATCAATTTGGATTTCTCCCAAGGAGATCCACTACTACACAATTGATCACTACCTTAGAAGATTGGTTCGATGGAATATTTTCTAATAAAAACATAGATTGCATCTATTTAGACCTTAGAAAAGCTTTTGATTCTATCCCACATGACTTACTTTTATATAAACTTTATAAAATTGGCGTTAGGGGTAAAATATACAATTGGATTAAAGAATTTTTAACAAATAGAAAATACCGTGTAAAAATTAATGATAGTTTTTCATCTTATTACAGTGCACCTTTGGGTGTACCACAAGGCTCTGTCCTTGGACCCTTATTATTTATTATTTATATAAACGATCTTCCAGATATTATTCCAAAAGGCATATCTGTTAAATTATTTGCTGATGATATTAAGCTTTATTTAATTCATGATTCATTAAATCAATGTAATACTTTAACTGAATCTATCAATAATATTGAATTTTGGTGTACCCAATGGGGTATTAATATTTCTTCTGATAAATCCTATGTTCTCTATCTTGGTAAAAATAACCAAATGCACAAATATAAAATTGGAGATAATATTATTATGGGTTTAGATTCTATAAGAGATTTAGGAATTATAATTGATAATAAATTATCCTTTCAAAAACATTTCGACACTATTGTTCGAAATGCTTATTATCGTATGAAAATTCTATTTAAAACTATCAGATCTAGGAGCATTAGAACTTGGACATTAGTCTATAAATCTTATATCAGACCTATACTTGAATATGCACCTGAAATTTGGAACCCTCATTTCAAAAAAGATATAATACAAATTGAAAAATGCCAAAAATTCTTTACATCTATTGCTCTCAAAAAATGTATGTTACCTAAAATTCCTTATCCTGAAAGACTTCAACTTTTTGGATTGCAATCTCTTAATACACGCAGAAAAATTTATGACCTCGTAACTGCATTTAAAATTATTAAAGGTTTTACCCATTTAGATCCTACTCACCTATACCGATTTTCTACTCATCCATCTCATAAACAATTTAATAGACTTATGTTTAAATGCAGATCCTCAAAAACCGCTCATTCCTTTGTTAATAGAAGCTCTTCACTATGGAATACTCTAGATAAAGTTACATTAAACTCCCACTCAATATTATCCTTTAAACACAGAATTACTCAGCTATTTATAAACCAAATATAAAAAAATAGACTATAAAAATAAAAAATGGTTATTCCCCCAAAAAAACATTTACATAAAAATTTATACATAAAAATCTAATAACTTAAAATTAAATTATATGTTTACTACACTATCTATACGTGTGTGGCTTCCCCAATACTCAATATAGTTAATTTTTTATACTAAACTCCAACTGTCAAATAATTAGAAAAAAAATTTATTACTTTTTTATAAATTATTATTTTTTTTTTACTACATACAAAAAAAAATTTTTTTTTTCTATTATTTTACAGTTGGAAAGACCTATGACAATATGTTTTTTATATATTTTTTTTAAATTTTTATTATTTACAATTGATGTTTTGTTTTTATTCATATCCTTTGACCTCCCATTTATTACTTTTTTTTTTTGACTTAAACTTTATTTAAATTTATCCGACAACGATGTTAGTGGACTCCCTTTCGTTGTATATTTTTAATTTTTGAATAAATAAATAAATAAAATAAACTTAAAAAATTTCATAAATTTAATCGAATTCCACAGCCAATAATCGACTTTTCGATTATTGATTAATGCCACATACAATTGGCATGATCAGGCAATTCTTTAATATTAATGAATTCATTTATCGTCAATGTTTGACCAGAAAGAGGAGGAAGAATTGAAAGAACTTCAAGAGTTTAAGGAGGAAGAGAAGAAGGATGTTGTTGAAGAAAATCGAGAAGAGGAAGAACAAGAAGTTGAGGAAGAGGAAAAAGAAGAAGATGATGATTACTCTTCAATTTCTCTATTCCAAATTATTATAATAGCTTTAGCTCTCTTCTTGGCTACAAATGGCCCTACTAACTATTCTCTTCTTTGGAATCAATTGACTAATCCTCCTGTTGATTCTCGTCATGCAATTAGAAATGGCAATAGTGGAGCTATTCCAGTTAGTCCACATACTATCTTAATACCTATTCAAACAGTCCAAATGAGAGAATATGCTCTTGGAGTGCAACAATCATTAGAGACTAACGTAGCTAATGCGGAGAATAGAATTGCATTGGTAAACAGAATGTTTGGGGATTTGGCATTGGATGATAAAAAGTCTGGTGAGGTAAATAATTGGGAATATTTATGTATTTAATTTATTCCTTTAATATTTAGATGGCAGAATTACTTGTTGGAATGAATATGACCAACGTAAAGAATTACTTCCTTCAGTTGCAAGATTTTTCCCTTAAAAATTTTCGGAATGAAGTTGGTGGCAAAGAATTACATGAAAAGATTATGGAACGCTGGATTAAATTTGTCGATAACATTATACACATCCATAAACAATTGTAAATTTAACTAATGTATTATATATTTCGAAATTTCCGAGTAAAAATGTTAGTTATGTATTAGTTAAGGTGTAATTAAAATAGAAAAAAATCATTAAAGAATACATATTTAACGCTTAATTCAAATTTGAGAAAAGTTGGAGACTGTAACCGTAATAAAATTTATTTTTTAGACTTCAGCCTTATAATCTATCGATATTTATTCAAGAAAAATTTTATAAATAAATAATAGTTCTTTAAATTAAATAAATTAAATATACAATAAAATTTTAGGCAAAAATATTCTAAAATTATTAACAATTTTAATCATTTTGTGTATTATTCTTTTCTTTTAATTTCTTCTCAATTTTGTTTAAATCATTCATTAACCAATTAATAAACATATAAATTGTTGAAAGAAGAAATAAACTTTAAAAGAAAAATTAATTTTAAATTACTAAACAATTATTTATTTACCCTCCACTAATTGTACAAAAACCAACACCAATACCAATTGAATAACGCAAAAAACTAGGCTTTGCTAGAATACTGAAAATTGAATAAAATTATTTTTAAAAAATTTTATTTTAAAATTTACACAGTAACACAATCTTTGACCACATTTTCAACAGTTGTTACTTCTGAATTTATTTGACTTTGACCAATAACAACTCCAATGGCAGAAATTAAGAATGCAAGACAAATAAATACCGACATTGTTTTTGAAGATTTTTAATTCTTTTGTATAATAAACATGAATAATAAACATTTTTGTTTATATAGTATATTTAAATTGAAAGTTATCACTAAACTTTTAACAACTTTTTGACAGATTAAAAATCATTATTTACATTTATTTTTCTAATTCCCTCTGGTACTATAAAGAATAAATAGTCATTAATTAAATTATTTCACCAGCAACTGTTTAATCTAATCTCCCTATATCCTCAAGGCAATTAATAACGGACAGAGTAAAGGCCAAAAGGTTCTGAATGTGAAAGTATTGGAGATTGAATAGCAAAAAATAAGAAAAGACCAAAACATAAAGGGGCATAAACATTCACATCTGTTATTGGTTTGCTGTTGGCCGGTTGAAAAGTGTCTAGCGTCCAAATTCAATTATTCTTAAATAACTTTTTTTTTGTTTTTATTTTGATCTTTATAAAATTTTAAATTTTGCACCTGTGAATTAAAACATTTAAATGTTTGATTACGACAGTTAATTTTTACAAAAATATTTCTATATTCCTCCTCATTTTTAACTTTTATTTATGTAAAACGAACAGCAACTCTCCTACAATTTCCCATAACTCTAATCTTTATTATTATTATTTCACGATAAAAGTACATAGTATGTAGGGGTGGTGGTCACTCAATTTTTCTATTCACTCATCTTCATATTCTTCCATTTACTTATTTTTTCTTCCATTTTTATTCAACAGATTCATTTGGCTTGGGCAGTTAGTTACCCTCACAGAAAGAATTGACCCAAAGAGAGTTTATTAAATACACAGATGAACACTTTCATAGGAAATATATTCTTCGGTTTATTTGTGACTTAGGGATACTAAAATTAATATTTTATTAGGTACATATCTAGCCGACTTAAAAATAAATTCCCGATCGGGAATCGGTCCGACTTGATCCTTTATACATATAAGTACCATATATTTCCTCTAAAATAAGTAACTAGCTAATAAACAATGTCCAAATTTTTAGAATAATATGTATATTTTTGTTATTTTTATAATTAAACTTCCGAATAAGCTCTAATAATTACACTGTAATTAATCGAAGAGGGGGAATTATTTGAGATTATTTTAGAAAGGCTAATTCCCTTAATAATAATAATATAATAATAAATAATATTATAATATAATAATAATAATCATTATACGGCAACTCTGATAATAAATAAAATTATTTTAGGAATGAAGTGGAAAATATTTCAAATAAATTGGCCTTTAATTCTTTTTATTTTTCAATTCTTTTTAACCGCAAATGCACAATGGAATAGCTCTGCAGGGCCATTAAGTCCAATTGCTTTTAATTTGGCAACAGGCCGTCGTATAACAGCTAGTTCAACTTGTGGAGAAGTAAATGGAAGACCAACTAGGGAAATATACTGCACAATTGCTGGTGATATTTAATTTAAACGGGGATATTCTAAAGTATATTTACTTAGGAGCAAGTCCATATTCCCCATACAATCAATATACTTTTACAACAATACTGGATGAAAGGCGTAATAAATATAGAGAAATGCGGGCTGAAGCTGGTTCTTTTATTCAAGATGGACAAAATTGTGATTTTTGTGAGGCAAATACATCCTCTGCTCATCCAGCATCAAATATGGTAGATGGAACGCCATTATGGTGGCAAAGTCCTCCACTTTCTCGAGGGAATATGTAATTCTGATTTAATTTAATTAAATTAAAATAAAATATTTTAACAGTTATGCCCAAGTGAATATTACAATTTATTTAGAACAGGTAAATATATTAATTTAGATTATTCTTATATTTTATCCTTTTTTAAAGCCATTTTATGTTTCGTATGTTTGGGTTCAAATGGCAAATAGTCCTCGACCAGCAACTTGGGTACTTGAACGTTCTGCTGATTTTGGAATTACTTGGCATCCATGGCAATATTTTGCTTCATCACCTGCTGAATGTTCTCGTTTATTTGGACTTGCTTTCCTTAGACCGATAATGGAAGATGATGATGTTATTTGTACTAGTGAATTCTCAAAAACTGATCCAATGGATAATGGAGAAATTATGTAAATAATTTTTTAAGAAAATATCTAAATTTGTTTAAAAAATTTTTTATTAGTTATAATACCATAATTCTCTAAATAAAGTTGTTACCCTCGCTCTCTTATTTAAAAATTTCTAATTAAATTTTTAATTTATAGGCTTAATTTACTCGAAGGAAGGCCTTCAAAAAATAATTTTGGCGGCTCTAAAAAATTGCAAGACTTTGTTTTGGCTACAAATGTTCGTTTACGTTTATTGCGACCAAGAACATTGCAGGGATATTTGATGGATTTACATGGGACACAAGACCAAACACAAGATGTTACTGTAACTAGAAGGGTGAGAAATATGTACATATTAAATAAATAAATAATATTTTTAAAGTATTATTATGGAATTAAAGAAATTTATATGGTCGGAAAATGTATTTGTAATGGACATTCTGAACATTGTAAATTTTTTTAAAATAAATTAAATAAAAATTAATATAAAAAAATATGTTATGAGAGTAAGAGAATAATTACAGTAAAGCCTGTTCACAAATAATCAGTTAAAATATCATTTTTTCCATCTCTCTTTCATCGGTAATTTTTTTTAAAAATTAAGGTGAACCATGGGATCCAGCACGTCCTAATTTATGGCTTTGTAGATGTGATGTAATTTTATAAATATTAAAAACATATTCTGTTTATTTTTTAAAGCATAATACAGAAGGGGATAATTGTCAACGATGTAAACCTGGATTCGAACAAAAACGTTGGAGACAAAGCCATGATGATGACCAATTTGTTTGTGAACCGTGTAATTGTCATGGACATTCGAATGATTGTGTTTATGAAGAAGAATTAGATTTACAAAGAAAAAGTTTGGATATTAATGGAAAATTGGAAGGAGGGGGACGTTGTTTAAATTGTCAACATAATACTAAAGGAATTAATTGTAATGAATGTGTTAAGGGTTATTTTAGACCAACAGGAAAAAATTGGAATGAAATTGATGTTTGCCAACGTGAGTCTATTTTATTCTTATTGAATCGAGAGAATAATCAGGGACAGTGTAATAAATGCAGGATAAGGAAGCCAATTCGTTTGACGGTATCTTGTTCCGAAATCCCAGGATTTACAGAATTGATTCACGTGATCATGTCCCATTCAATTTCACGGGATTCCGGATGCTACTACTGGATGCTACTATTTTCCTCTACCCCCTCTTCCTCTCCTAATAAATTTAATACTAAATAAATTTAGCTTGTATTTGTGATCCTCTCAAACATGGAGGAAGCTGTGCAGAAGAAACAGGTCAATGTGAATGTTTGCCACAATTTACTGGACCTAATTGTGACCAATGCGGTAATTTTTAAATACAAATATTTATAGAAATTTTTTTTTCAATTTAGCTGCTGGTTATTTTCATCCCCCTGAATGTCGCCCTTGTGAATGTAATGTAAATGGAACTGTTGACAGACAATGCTTGGTATTTACATTATTTATTTATTTACGTCAAACAATGACGCGAATATTTAATTTTAATTTTTAATTAAAGCCAGATACACCAAACGGGCAATGTCCTTGTCTTCCAAACTTTAGCGGCCGTTTGTGTGAAAAATGTGCTCCAAGTTTTAAAAATATAAGTGCTGGCTGTTTAAATTGTGATTGTGATCCTATTGGCTCGACGAGTGGAGAATGTAATTCTACAACTGGACAATGTCAATGTAAAAGCAGTTTTGGAGATATTAAATGTGATAAATGTGCTAAAGGATATTATAGAAATAAAGAAACTAATGGTAAATAATGAAAAATAAAAATAATTAAAAAAAAATAAAATTAAAAGATTGTATTTATTGTGATTGTGATCCAAGCGGTACAGAAGACGAAATTTGTGATGGAAGTAATGGGCAATGTCTTTGCAAGCCTGGTTTTGCTGGAAGACGTTGTGACAAATGTGATGACCAATTCTTTGGATATCCATCTTGTAGAGAATGTTTTTGTCATGAAAAAGGCTCTAAAAGTTTAGAATGTGATAAAATAACTGGAGAATGGTAAATTAATTGAAGGACTTCCAAAAAAATAATTTTTCAAGTCCATGTTTTGCTAATTTTACTGGCCGAACTTGTGATAAATGTTCTGCTGGTTATTATCGCTTCCCAGATTGCTTAGTTTGTGGGTGTGCTTCTGCTGGATCTAAAGGATTGACTTGTGATATTGAAGTGAATTTAATTTTAAAAAATAAAAAAATAATTATTTTTTAAATAAAAGGGTCAATGTTATTGCAAACAAAATTTCCAAGGAAAACAATGTGATCAATGTTTAGCTAATTTCTTTAACTGGCCTCTTTGTGAGGCATGTAATTGTCATCCAGCAGGTGTTGTTCCTCAATTTGCTGGATGTGATAAAGGTAATTTAAATTCAAAAAATAAAAAATTATTTTTAAAAAATTTTTTAGTGCCCCCGGGTGAATTATGTACTTGCAGAAAAAATGTCCAAGGAAGAACTTGGTAAAAAATAAATTGTAAAATATCTAATCTTTTTAAAATAAAGTTCTGTTTGTAAACCAAATCATTGGGATTTACAGCCACATCATCCAGAAGGGTGTATAGACTGTGCTTGTAATATGACTGGAACTTTGTCTTTATCTAATGATTGTGATCAACTTAGTGGGCAGTGCCAATGTAAAAGATTTGTGGATGGACAGAAATGTGATTCTTGTCAAGAAGGATTTTACAATATAAGAGCTGATAGTTAAATTAAAAATTATTTTTAATTAAAAAACTTTTTTTAAAAAGGTCATGTTGGCTGTGAGCCTTGTAATTGTGATATTGGAGGGGCTATTGGTATTGGATGTAATCAAATAACTGGACAATGTAGATGTAGACCTCGAATTGGGGGGCTTAAATGTGATAGGCCTGTACAAGATCATTTCTTTCCAACATTATGGCATTATAAAGTAAGTGAAAAAAGGAGAATTTTAAATAAATAAATTGACAAAAATGAGGACAAAAGAAATTTTTAAAGTAAAAAAAAGTTGGGAATGTTTTCCTTTCATTCTTATCTTCTCTCTTTTTTATATCTCTTCTTCTTTTTCATCCCTATATTTAATTAAAAAAACTTAAATTGAAAAAAAAGAAAACCTTTTAATTACAAACAAAACAATTATAGCAATAATTATTAACAAAATTGCACTCATAACACTAACTACAAATGCAACAGCCATTGAACGTACACAATTATAAGCTGTTTCTCTTGTTGGATCTATTTCTGTTAATTCAGCAACCATCTCTCCCTTTAAAATTATTTTTAAATCTTTTTTTTCTTTACCATATTTCCTTCAATAATTACCCCGGGTAATTATCAACCTCTCACTGAGGAGGTAATTAATCGAGGTTATAGGTAATTCTTTTAACTTACTCTTTCCAATGCTTGTTCATCCCCAAATTGTTCACTACTTTCATATACTGCATCCAAAATTTTTAAACTTGTAACTAAATCCATCTAAATATTTTTTAAAATTATCTCTACTAAATACATATGCTTATATTTTCTACCTTTTCATTTAATTTAAATGTTTTTGGTAAACTTTCATTTCCATTTCTTTCAATATTATTATTTCTTCTATTACCATTACGTCTATTATTTTTATTTTCATCATTAAATATTCCTCTCTTTTGTCGTCCACAAATTGGAGGAGTAAGTCCATGACATTCATCTATTGCTTTTTTACATAATTCAACAGAACATTGATAATTTAAAACTGTTGTGTCACTAAATTTATATCCAAAAGTCTCAACATAAGCCTTTAAATATATTTTTTGTTTTTAATTCTATTTTCAACTAACTTTATTCTTTTCTGGAGTATATTCAACATCTGGTTGAATTATTGGATCTATAGCACATCCATCTACGTCTAACTATAAAAAATATATTCTTTTAATATTTTAAAATAATTCTCGCCAAGTCAAATTTTGATCCTTTTCCATCATCAACTGCACATGAATGAACTAAGAATCCGTAATCAGAATCATCACATTCCCACACATGATAGACTTTATCTCCAACCTTTCCTAATTGAAATGCTGGCCCATCAGGAGATTGAGCATGAATTGAGTAATGACAAGTTGGGGTTTTTATTGTATCCATTAATTCTGTTGTCCCAACCATATTCACATCAAGAATATTTGTCAAATGTTTAATATTTCTGAAGAAGCACATACAATGAAAAGCTCGATCAGAACGAGTAACAAATGTTCCATGAAATGAAACTACTATAGTTAATGAAAGCATCATTCCTTCTAATGGCCCTGTTACTCTTTGCCTTTGCACTTTAAAATAGATAAAATTTTAATTAATTTTCTTTTCTATTTTCTTGACAAACTTGTGCAATCTCCATTTTGTATCATCATAGAAAATTTTGATTGATCTGCATTTGAAGCAAAATTTTTTGAACATCTTTCATCATCTGCCATTCCTTGAACATAAACACGTCCATTAAATGGCTTTTTTGTTTTAAAAGTTAAAGATATCATTGTCTCTTCGCATTCAACAATTGGATCATCAAAAAGTTCATTGTCTGTTGGTAAATTTCTGTTGTGATATTCAGAAATTTCAGAATTAGAAAAAATGATTAGAGTAGTTAATATTGTTAGTAGTACTTTTAATTTAATCATTTTTTTGATTATTTGTTCTAAATATTTAATTTTCTATTTTTTATTTAAAAAATCTATTTAACATTAAATTTTTTAATAAATAAAATTAGGTAAAAATCTAATGAGGATGCCAAACCAACGAATTTTCAAGACCACCATTGACGATGAAATAACTCAAAGATATAACACTTTCCATAACTATTTTTTAATCTTCTATCCAATATACTTAAGAGAGATATAATCAAATGGGTCATCTTTTAATTTTTTGTTGTTGCATTGCGCAACGAATATTAAAAAAATAAAATTTTTGGATTTTTTAGGAAAGAGGGATTTTAAATTTATTTTTTTAAATTTAAGTATGAGGCGGAAGATGGCCATCTTCGAGATGGAAAGAATGTTCGTTATGCCATCAATAAAGAACAATTTCCAAACTTTTCTTGGAGAGGATTTGTTGTTTTTTCAACAATTCAAGAACAAATTAATTTGGATGTAATAATTAGAAAATCAGCTGTTTACAAACTTCTAGCTCATTATCGTAATCCTACAGAAGTTGATGTTGAATTGGAAGCTAAATTTGTGCCTTTACAGACACAAACTAGTGGTAAATAATTTTTAAAAATTGTTTAGACAAAAATTAAATTTAAAAACAAAACAGATTCTGAACAAACTTCCAAAGTTATTTTACCGCCTAGTGGTGAACTACCACAAAATGCTTTTATTCAATCAAAACCTGACCAACGTCCATTTGTGTTAAATCCGGGCCGTTGGCAACTTCAATTGAGTGCACATAAACGTCTTTTTCTTGACTATATTGTGCTTGTTCCATCAGAATATTATTCGGGTTCACAACTTTCTGAGCATATTCTAGAACCTTGCAAAGCTGGCCAAACTCAAAATTGTATTGATTTGCTTTATCCACCTATGCCAATTGTGGCAACAGTCAGAGCAGATACTGGAATTACAAAATTTGAGGAATTAGTTCCTGGAACTGATAGAGTACAGACAATACTTAGTCATGTATGTTTTGACTTTTCGAAAAGATTTTTTTCTTTTTAAAGTCTCCGGACAGTCTTTTGCCGCAAAAAGTTGGTCAAGGAGCTCTTGTCAAAACCGAGGACCAATCAAAAGAAATTCGTGTTGGGATAACTGTTCCAGAAGATGGAATTTATTTATTAATTGCTGATTATCACAGTCAAGAGCCAAATTCTGTTCCTGTACGTATTAAAGTTGAACAGGGACAAAAACTTGGTGAAGAAACTCCATTATTGGCTTCGCCCTCAACAATGGCTGATGGCCTTCTTTTAATTAATCATTGCCCATATGGTTTCTTTTGCCGAGAATTAATGTCTTCTGATGGAAGGCCTGCAATGTTGGGATTACATAAAAGTCCACCAGATGCCCAAGTAATTTTATCAGTTCAACCAGGACGTGAATTCTCTCTCGGAGCATTTACTTTAGTCAAAGAAGAAAAATGGCATGGAGATCTGTTAAAACAAGTAAATAATGTTTATTTGAAATTTAAATAAAATTTTTAAAAAATTAGAAGTCATATTGTGTAAGGAAAGGTGAAAAATGTATTGCCCAACAATTCCCTCAACCACCAAAATCTATTAGAACAGAAGCTGAATCTGGAAGTAATTTTAATTCAAGCATGTCTGCAGATAAACTACCTTTTCAAATTGCTGGTGAACCTGCGGAAGTTAGATTAATGTCTTTGGATACTGTACAAGTAGATACATATATTTTTGTTATTCATTGAAGCCATTATTTAAATAAATTAAAAATAAAATTTAAATTTTAGAGTACTTTGGAGATTGAAGGATTTGTTGATTCACCTGGACAATATGTATTTGTAGTTCATTATTACAGTCCAGATAATCCACCTGTATTTACTGATGTTCTTGTACAAAATGATTTTGCTGATGCTATGTTTCATTATTGTCCAAGTATTAGTGGATGTAGAACTATTATAGTTAAGTTTTTTAAGAATAGAATGAATTACACTTATAATATATGAGTACACTATATTAAAAAAAATTTATTTTAAAGGTTGATAGAAAAACAGGACTTCAACAATTTCGAATAGAAGATAAATATTTATTAACATTTTATGCCAACAATACATTCCAAAAAGGTCCAATTTATATTGACTATATATTACCTGTTCCTTTTGAATCTTTTACTGATTCTGTGCTTAAACCTTTACCTTTGGGTTTGGCAGATGAATTTGTTGAAGAATGTGCTGCTGAAAATTTTGGAAATCGGTGAGAAAAAAGATCATGAATTTTTAAAAATAATTTTGATTATAAAATTATTTTATTTTAAGTCCTGAAAATGTTTCTGATTATTGTCGCTCAAAAATATTTTCAATAACTTCTGAGTTTATCGGTGCAGCAATGGCTTGTGATTGTAATCCTCAGGGAAGTTTAGATTTTGCTTGTGCTGATTATGGTGGTCAGTGTAAGTGTAAACCTAATGTTATTGGAAGATCTTGTGAGAGATGTGCACCTGGATATTATAACTTTCCTGATTGTTTAAGTAAAAAATAAACAATTTAATTTAATTAATAAAATTAAAATCAGAATGTAAATGTGGAACAAAACAACAATGTGATGAACGTACAGGCCAATGTTTTTGCCCTCGTTATGTAGAAGGGTTGGCTTGTGATAGATGTGTTCAATATGCCTATGGATTTGATCCTCTTATTGGTTGCCAGCTTTGTGGATGTTCTGTTAATGGTTCTGCTGGTGCCGAGAAAAAATGTGATCCATTGTCTGGTCAATGCCTTTGTAAAGATAATGTTGGGGGAAGAAGGTAATGCTAATTGGAAGTACAGTGTGTCAATTTTTTAATTCATTAAAGATGTGAAAAATGTTTGCAAGGCTATTGGGCATTTCCAGAATGTAGAGAATGTGATTGTCAACAAAGTGGAACTACAGATGATGTTTGTGATGATAGAACTTCAAGATGTCTTTGCAAAAAGAATTTATTAAGTGGAGGTCGTTGTGATCGTTGTAGACCTGGAACTTTTGATCTTCGAAAATCTGACCCTGATGGATGTTCTGAATGTTTCTGTTTTCGAGTAACAGATCGTTGTCGTTCGTCAAATTGGCCAATTCGAGGACTTAGAGTTTCTGATAAAGATTGGAAAGTAGATGATCCAAATGGGACAGTTTTGAGTGATGAATTTGGAAGAATTATTTATGAGGCTGGAAAAGAATTTAATGAAGGAGAAAAGGAAGAAAAACAAACTTCAGTTTATTTTGAAGTAGATTTACAGCCTGGAGTTGATTATACACGAATGTACGGATTACATCTCTCTTTTGCTATTTCAAGCTTCCCAAGAGATGATAGACCAAGACCAAATATGAAGGCTGACGTTCGTTTGGTTAGTTAAAAGTTTTCCAAATGTAAAAGTTTTCTCAAATTTTTTGTAGATTGCTGGAAATACAGTACTTGAGTATTGGGCAACAGAGCAACCAAGAAATGCCAGTCAACGCTTCAATGTTGTTGTAACTCTTTTTCCAGAATTTTGGCTTGAATTACAGGGTTATTATTGAAGGGATTTTATTTAAATAAAAATATTTTTATTAAAGGAGTTCCAGCAAATCGTGCTCAATTAATGTTAGCACTTCTTCGTCTTCAACGAATTCAAGTTAAGGCATCCTACTATGAAAGACCGAGTAAAGCAATTCTTGAACATTTTCAACTGGAAATGGCTGATACTGGCGCTCCAACAACGGTGAAGAGAAATGAAAAAATGTTTTGTATTTTTTATTTTTTAAAGGATGAGAATGGAATAGATAGACCAATGGCATCTTCTGTTGAATTATGTGAATGTCCATCAGCATATTCTGGTCCTTCATGCCAAGAATGTGCACCTGGTTATTATAGACTTCCAATACAATCTGGTCAATTACTTGGATCTTGTGTTCCTTGCAAATGTAATGGGCATTCTGGAAGTTGTGATCCTTCTACAGGAGTTTGTCTTAATTGCCAACATAATACTGAGGGAGAACATTGTGAATATTGCCGTGAAGGTTTTTATGGAAATGCAACAACTGGAAGTGCTGCTGCTTGTTTAAGGTTAGAAAAAAGGATAAAATGAAATATTTCCTTAAAATTATTTTTCTACAGATGCCCTTGTCCACATCCAATTCAAAGCAATAACTTTGCCCGTTCTTGTTCTGTTTCTGAATTAGGAATTCTTGAACGTTGTGAATGTCATAAAGGTTATATTGGAGATAGATGTGAAATGTGCGATACTGGCTATTTTGGTAATCCACTTATACCAAATGGAGGATGTGAAAATTGTGATTGTAATGGAAATAATGATTTAAAAAATCCTGGTAAATATTATTAAATATAATTTTTATTTTCCTTTTCTTTAAAGCCGCTTGTCATCCGCAAACTGGCGATTGTGCTCTATGTGAAAATAATACAGATGGCCGACATTGTGAAATATGTGCTCAATGGTTTTGGGGGGATGCTGTAAGTACAAAAAATTGCTCCAAATGTGAATGTCATCAATGTGGAAGTTCTGTTTGTGATCATTATACTGGAAAATGTCAATGCCATCCACTTGTTGAGGGAATACGTTGTGACCGTTGTGTTGAAAACGCTTGGGGAATTGATTCCTGCCGAGGCTGTCAGCCTTGTAATTGTGGATTAGCTGTTAGTTATTTTAATCCTTCTAAACATTTGTTATTTTTAAAGGCATCGAACTCTCAGTGTGACTTAAAAACTGGTCAATGTGCATGTATGCCTGGAGCAGCTGGACAATTTTGTGAACGTTGTGACCATGGCTTCTGGCATTACAGTTCTCAAGGCTGTCAAAAATGTGATTGTGAGGCTGATTTAAGTATGGGAACTGTCTGTGATGTAAATACCGGTCAATGCCATTGTCAAGAAGGAGCTACTGGCTCTAGATGTGACAAATGTTTGACAAATTATTTGCGAGTACCTGGATATGGATGCCGCCTTTGTGACGAATGTGTTTATGCTTTGGTTATTTTTCTCACGTTTATTTCTCCCACTTTCAATTTTCCAGGCTCAGGAAACTGATCAAATGGAATCAAATGTTGCCCATCTTCGATCACTTCTTTCAAATGTTTCCAGTGAAACTCTTACAGGCGCTCGTCTCAATCGCATCCAAAAACAAATTGGAGAATTAGAACCAGCGTTGGAGAGTGTTATTGCATCAAATTCCCCAGAAGCCGAAGAAATTTCCTCTCAAATTGCACCTAAAGCACGTTCTTTAAATGAAGCAGCTTCTGCCGCAGCAATACGTTCACAAAGAGCAACAGAGCAATTATCTACTTTAGATAAAAGACTTGATAAAAGTTATGAACAACTTGGGGAAATCCGTACAAATGCTCAACAATTATTGGAAATGACTAGATTAACTATTGATAAAATTGGGAAACTTGGACGGCGTTTTGAAACACAAGCTCCATTAGATATAAACAGAGAAGAATTAAGAAATCAATCAGAAGCAAAATTGAAAATGATTAGAAAAGTGGATGGAGGAATTGAGGAAGCGCTTTCTGAAGCAAGAAAACATCTTACAAATGTTATGGCAACACAAGAAAGAATTGGAGAATTAAAAGGAAGAAATGATGAATTAAGCAATAAAATTGGCGAAGAAAGAGGACGTTTGGAAAAATTAAATGAATGGAGAGAAGCGTTTGAAGATGAATTAAAAACAGTTAAAAGTTCATTGGCTGATATAAAAAATGTAAATTAAACGAAAATATTAATTTTTATAAAAAAATTTTTTAGAGTTTGGATTCTCGTTCAATGTTTTCACTACGTGCTCTAATTGATGGAATCGAAAAAGATGCCAAAGCACTTGAGAGAAGCAGTTCTGAACAAGAATCTCATTTAGGCAATGTCACAAATTTACTTGAGGAAATAACTAATCAACGGGGAATAATTGACCAACTTTTGTCAGAACTATCAGAATTAAAAAATCAACTTCCTCCAATTGATGACAGCACTTTTCGTATTCGTCGAGAGACAGAAAGAGCAATCAAACAAAAACTTCAACATAAAGTTGCACAGTTGGAAATAGAAGCACAAAAAGTTGTTGCGATATATGATGCTGCACGTTTAGAAGCTAAGAAGGCTATGGAAGCAGCAAATATTTATAAAGAAGTAATTGAAGGAATGAAACAAGCAAGAATACAATCTTTGGATGCCGAAAACAGAATGCGTGAAGCTGGAGAACATATTCGTTCCCAAAATGGAAATGCTAAAGAAGCTAGGAATAAAAGTAAAATATTAAAAGAAAGAAGCTCCTCGAGTGTAGAAGCCCTTGGAGAAGCAAAGGCAAGAGTTGAGGCTCTCACTAAAAGAGAAGAACAATTGGCTCCTTTGATAACCAAAATTCGAAATGATTTATCTGAAATTAGCCAACAATCACTTAAAGGAGGGGATGAAAACCAGCTAGATATTGACACAATTAGAGATAAGGCTGATCAATCACAGCAAAGAATTGAACCTTTAAATGAAAGTTTCCAAAAGATGGGCAAACAATTAGAAGGTGTTGGCAAAAAAGTTCGGGAATTGGTGGATTCAAGTGGTAAAGCTTTTGAAGATACTGCAACTGCTAGAAATCAAATACAACAAGTAGATTCCTTTTAGCTTAAAAATAGTATATAATAAATTCATTTTTCAGGTAATTAAATCAATGCCTGAATTAAAAGAAGAATGGGAAGATTCTCAAAAAAGAATTGAACAAACAATAGCTAATGTAAAAGAAACTCGTTCAAAATTAGCCCTTTTAAAAGAGAAAGTTATTCTTGCAAGAGACAAGGCAAATCGTGTTAAATTGGGTGCACATTTTGAGAGAGGAAGTTATTTGGAATTGCCACTTCCCCAAACTTCTGATGATTTTGCTGAAGTCACAGATGTTCGATTCTTCTTTAGAACACGTGAACGAAATGGTAGAAAAAAAGAATTTTTCAAATTTATTAAATTTAAAAAGGTTTTCTTTTCTTTTTTCTTCTAATGCTCAACTTGCGGGAGAATTTTTGGGAATTGAATTGGAAAATGAACGGCCAAAAATGACTTTAAATCTTGGTGGAAAAGCAGCAAATCTTTCACATTTGTCTACACCTGTTAGTGATATGAAATGGAGAGAATTAGTTATACAAAGAAGAGGGAAACGTGCTTTAATGAAATTAAGTAAACCTGGAGGAAATGTTGAGGATGGACCTGAGGAAGAAAAAGTAGATTAATTATTTAAATAAAAAATAATTTTTATTTAAAGAATATTGAATTAATTGGTGGAAAGTCTATTTTAAACTTTTTTGACGATTTACGTCATTTATTTGTTGGTGGTATTCCACCAACTTTTCTTTTGCCATCAGCTCTACAACAAAGACATTTTACGGGTGATTTAGATAAATTGAGTGTAAATGGAGAATTAATTGGGTTTTGGAATTCTGAAAAGTCCCATGGAGTAAGTGGGTCTGAAATGCGTCAATTACCCGATTCTGAGAAAATTGCTGAAAATGAAGTTACTTTTAATGGTAGAGGATATTTACAAATGGATGTTGGACCTTGGAATCCTCGAAAGAGAACAGCTATTATTTTGTCTTTTTTGAGTTATTCCCCGGATGGTTAGAGAATTTTTTTAGAAAATAAAATTAAATAAAATTAATTAAAAAGGTTTACTCTTTTTTGTTGGCAAAGATCGGGATCAATTAGTACTTGAGTTGGTTGGTGGTAGAGTTAGTCTTCTTTTTGATTTGGGTTCTGGTCCAGCTAAATTAGTTAGTAATGAAGAGAAATATAATGATGGAAAATGGCATTTAGTTGAAGTTGATAGAAATGAAAAAACAGCTAAATTACAAGTTGATGGAAGTGATAAAGTAAAGAGAAAAAAATTATTTTTTAAGAAAAAATAATTTTTATTTTAGATTGAAGGTGAATCCCCTGGTTCTCTTTTTGAAATGAGCGTTTCTGATTCATTTTTCCTTGGAGGATTACCCACAACCATTGAAACAACGTAAAATATTTTTTAAAAACTATATAAAATTTCTCTTTTTAGTCGTTTTGCTGTCCATCCATTCCGTGGCTGTATTCGAAACCTAAAATTGGATAGTGATTATATTTCATTAGCTCGTCCAAAAGCATCAAAAGGTGTTCAATCTTCGTGTGTTAATCGTGATGTTCGTGTTGGTACTTTACTTTCTGAACGTTCATTTGCACAATTTACCGGCCTTTCGCTTGATGGACAATTAGAATTATGTTTCCGTTTTCGTCCATCTATTTCTATAAATTCTCAACAAGAAGTTCATTTACTTAGTGTAATGGTTAATAATGATCAAGAAGAACTTCTTCGTGTACATTTGGAGGAAGGAGGACGTTTCTTAGCAATTCGTCCAAATGGGGATGATACAGGATTAATTAAAACAGAATTAAGTCATCGTTTGGCTGGTGGTTGGCATCTTTTGTGTGTTCATCGAAATTCTAAAATAATGCATGTTTTTGTTGATGATGCTATTGATGAACAAACTCAAGCACCAATTGAAGGAATTGATTTACTTGTAAATTTAAATATATTTTAAATAAAAATAATTTATTTAAAGAATTCAAAAGATGTTCTTTTGGGTTTTGGCCGGTTAGAATCTTCCCCTTCATTTGTTGGATGTATTGGAGATATTCTTTTTGGAGGACAATTACTTTCTTTGGCACAAAGTAGTGCTAATGAATTAACACTTTCTGGATGTTCAATTGCTGGATTAAATGAATTTACATCTTCAATTGATGAATCTTTGCCTGATCTTCCATTACCCGCAGTTAATGCTGAACGGCAAACACAAGAAGAGAAGAAAACGGGGGAAATATTAAATGAATCTAAAATTATTTGTAAAATTTTGATCTTTATTTTAATTAATTTTTAAACAAAATAGCCTCAACAATTCCCTCAGCAAAAGTTCGTCCAGAAGGTGAATGTGCTTTACCTTTAAAACCTCATGGAGAACGTGAAGATAGTTCTGGATTACGTTTTGGTCTTTCCCCAAATACTCGTTTAGAATTTGATGTTGGGGAAATTACTGGATCTGATTTAGTATTTACAGTAGAATTGAGGGCTACAGCAGCAAATGGAATTATAATGTTTGTAACAGATGAAAGACATAGTCAATTTGCTGCAATTTATTTATTAAATGGAAAACCAGCATTTTCTTCAAAAAGTTCTTCTTTTGGACAAGTAAAAAGAAAAAAATATTTTTTTAAAAAGAAAAATCTCTTTTCTAGTTAACAATAACAAGTAGTCAATCATTATTAGACGGTGAATGGCATTCAATACGTGTACAACGTGAAGGTTTAGCTTCGGCTTTATATATTGATGGACAATTAAATGTACAAAATAGAAGTGAAGAATTATTAACAAATTCAATAAATACAAATAATTTAAATTTACAATCTCCTTTATTTATTGGGGGACTTCCAATTGAATTAATTCCGTTTTCTGCACGTTTTTTGTTTGGCGTTAAATCAGAATTTGGTGGTTGTTTACGTAATTATGCTTTTAATGATCGTCAATTGGAGGAATTACCTTTAGTAAAAGAAAGTGGGACAGTACCTTGTTCTCAATTTAAAGTAGGGGGGAATTAAATATTTTTTTAATGTTTTTCCTTTTAAAGGAGCCAGGTTTATTTTTTGGAAAAGAAGGGGGATATGCTATTTTGGATAGACAATTAGTGGTAGACAATTAATTTTAAATTAAAAAAAAATATTTTTTCTAAAAAAGGTTGGAACATCGTTTAGTTTAGAATTAGAATTAAAACCTCGAACAAAAAATGCAGTTATTGTGTCTGTTGGAGTTTTGGACTTTTTAAGTTTACAATTATTAAATGGAAGTGTTAAATTTTCTGTTGATAATGGAAATGGTGTTGAATCAGTTTTGTATGAGCCCCCAATTGGGACTTCTCTTTGTGATGGGCATTGGCATCAAGTGAAAATTTATAAAAAGAAAAAGTTGTTAACGTTAAATGTTGATGGAAAAAGTAAGGGAGAAGAAAAAAATTAATTTTAAAAATAATTTAAAGGTAGTCTTCGAGTATTGGGGAAAAAATCGGCATCAGAAACGAGTACACACGATCCTTTATATTTGGGTGGAGTTCCTCGTGATGTTAAATTAAAAGGATTGGATACTCAAGGTAAAAATAAGTGTTTAAATTTAAATATTTATTTTTAATTTTTTAGAGCCATATGTTGGTTGTATTCGTGTAATATTCCTTGGGAAAAAGAATCGGCGAAGAAATGTTCCAGATGAAGTAGCACAAGAATTGGAATTGTTTGGGTCTGTTGACAGAAATTATTGCCCATTAAATTGAAAAAATAATATTTAATTGTTTATTTAATTTTAATATTTTTTTTTATTAATTTAATTTTAACTTTCTAATTTTTAAATATTTTGTTTAATTAAAGGTAATAAAATATAAATATTCAGAATCATTTATTGGTCATTTAGGCTAATCACATATTAAATCCAATTTTTATTTAAAAAACATTTAATTTCCGTGTAATAATTAGAGGTTGGTTGTCCACATACATTTAGACCCGAGAGTTTTGCTTTTCTTTCTCCAAAAATAATCCGTTTTTTATTTCAAAAAAGATATACTAGGATCGGGCGCATTACTTTATTTACGTTAAATTTTGGCCTTTCAAAATTCAAAAAATTATCTCTTGCGCCAGACCCTAACCCAAAGTATATATCAAACTTTTCACCACTGGCTACCCTTCCTTTCCCCAGATTTTCTTTTTTCAGCAAATTCTTCCTTATCTTTCTTCTCAATTATTTCATCTTCTCCCTTCTTTTCTGTTTTAAATTCAACAATTTCTTCTTTTTCAATAAATTCTTCCTTATTTTCTTTTTTACTCCATTCATTATCTTTTTCTTAAAAAGAAATTATTTATTTAGATTTAAATATATTTAATTAATTAATTTTACCAAATTTATTTAAATTATCCAAATTTTCACTTTTCTCATTTGAATCTCCTTTAACAAACATTTTAGCAACATTTCCAATTCCATTTAATATTTTCTTCCACCAACAATTTCCCTTTTTTTCTCCATTATTTTCATTTCTATTAAATATTCCTCCCCAAGAGAACCTTCCATTATTATTTTCTTCTTTTTTATTCTCCTCCTCTTTTTCTTCTACTTCATCTTCTACTTTTTCTTCCTCTACTTCTTTTTCTTCTTCTACTTCTTCAATTGTCTCCTCTTTATTTATTTTTTCCATTTCATTTTTATCTTCAATTTCATTAAATCCCTTCCAATATTGTCCATTCATACGAGGTAATAAACCATTTATAGGAATAAAATTAATATTATTATATTCTTTATTTACATAATTTTCATCTTTCCACTTATTATCTAAAAGATATTTTTTTATATAATTTACTTGTGAAATAGGTAATTATGTAACAGGGGTTTGACTGATAGATAAGATGATATGATGGAGATAAGATGATACGATAAAATGAATTTTAACTGAAAAATCTCTAATCTCTATTTCAATTACTCTTATCCCTCCATCTTTTTGTCCATTACTTGTAAGTTCACACGCTTTCTGAAATATCGCGAGATATTTTTCGAGATTCCTTATCAAATCCATTAATTTTTCTCTAAAATTTTCTCATGCTAATATCAAAACGGCCCAGAAATACGATATTTATCTAAGTATGTTGGTTATTATCATGCATCACTTAAAATGGAAGGAAAATACTCGATCCTATATTAATTTGTAAAGAAAAGTTAATGTATGTAGAAACATTAGAAAACAGATATTTTTCGATAAATACCAATTATTTTCAAGTCCATTCTCTTCTGATAAATAATGTTTATTTACCTATTTTCCATTTATTTTCCATTAATTCATTCCAATTAAATACTTTATTACTTGCTTCTTCATCATTTTCTTCCTTTCCCCACATTTCCCACCATCTTCCACCACCCATTTTTTGCATATCATTATTTCCTGTCCACTGCCAAAATTTAAATCCATTATCATCATTATTATTCCAATTATTCCATTTATTATTCTCATAAAAATTATTTAAAAAATTTGATTGACTTTCATCTTCTCTTATTTCTTTTCTCTTCTCCTCCTCCTCTTCTCTTCTTCCAAATCCTTTATTTATTACCCAATCTTCTTCTTCTCCATTATTTTCTTCCTCCTCCTCATTTTTTCTTTCTTCTTTAGCTTTAACAAAAGAAAATGAACCTTCTTTCTCTTCAAATACTTCTTTATTATCTTCCTCACCATTTTTTCCACTTTTAAACAAATCATCAACATTCTTTTCATTTTCACTCCTCACTTCATCAACTTCACTCCATTTCTCTTCTTTTATTTCTTCCCTTTTAAAAACTAAAAAAAATTTAAATTAATTTAATAAAAGAATTCTCGATAATCTCCTTTATTTATTAAATAATTAAATTACTTTGTTCATTGTCTGTCAAATGAGCTTTAATTAAATTATTAAAATATAAAAAAATAATTAAAATTATTGGAAAATTTAAGAAAAATTTTAGAGGAGGATTATTCATTTAAAATTTTATTTTCTTTTTTGATTGAAGAATACTAATAAATGAAACTTGTGAAAGGCCAAAGTTTTATATATAATAAAAGCTTTGAAGTCATTTAATTTAAAAAAGCTAAATAAATAATTGAATTTTATTTTAAATATTAAAAAAGGTATTTTTCTTTTCTTCTTTTTTTGTTTTTGGGGGTAGGTATATTATCGTGATTAATTTTAATCCAAAAATTGCTTTAATGATAAAAAATAATTGATTTAAAAATTAAAATTACTTAAAATCTAAATACCGTTTAATTAAAGAATTTAGTGTAAGCCAAAAAAATTTGTTGTAATATATAAATTAAATTAAAATTTAAATGAAATATTTATTTCTCAACTTTAAATTTATTTTTTAGACAAAAAAGTTGGGAGAGTTTTTGAATATAATTAATAAAAATTCCTTTAATTTCAAAAAAATATTTCAAAATTAGGAGGAGATCGGGAATTGTATAAAATAAAATAGTAGTAGACATTTTAATGGAAATATTTATAAGTAAAAAATATACACACATAAAAATTTCAAAAAAATATTTAATTTCTAGAAAATTATTTTTTAAATATAAATTTAATAATTTTCTTTAAATCATTCTTTCTTTCATTTAAAAAAAAATATTTTTTTTATTCTCGAATACAAGGAATTTGTAATGATGTGACAGGAGAAGTAGGCGAACAAGTATTTCTCCGAACACAGCGACCACCACCACCAAAACCTAATTTAGGTGAAAGTGAGGGGGAACGGCTGGCTGTTGATCTTTTAGAATTTAAAATACTTCCATTACTTTTTGTTGAAGATACACGAAGTAAACCATTCGAAGCTGAACGAGGTTTATCTCCAACATTTGGTATATCATCTAATAAATCCAAATATTGCTCTGATTTTAAAAACCTTTAAGGAAAAAATAATTTTTTTCTTCCTAAATTAAAAGATTACCTAGAGTAACTATCTTTAGACATTAATTGTTCAATTTTGTTTTGTGCCAAATTAAAAATATCTGTTTTTAATGGAATACTTTGTAATCCATTTTTTGTTTTCATTCTTGTTTCACTATCCAAATTTACCTAAAATATTAAAATTAATGTCAGGTAATATCATTTTCTTGGTCAGGACGGATTTAGAAAGGAATGGTTATCAAGTTATAGAATTTACATAAAGTGCAATAACCCAGTTTCAGGTATTCTATTGGAATTATATATCTACCAATAAATTAACAATATTCCTTCACTACACAAAGTTAAGGTATATACAACCCTTAGGGTATCTAAATACCATTCAATTAGAAGGGTTATAAAGAAATGTTTATTTAATTAAAAGATATTTTTACTTCTTTAGGTGCCAATTCTTTAATATAAGTATCATATATTTGTTGGGCTTTTTGTAAAGTTTGTTTTTTTGAATCCTTCATTTGTTTAAAGTTTTCAACATCCAACCAAAAATCTAAATTTTCCTCGCTAAATTCGCTTTGAAGAAATTCCCGAAAAAGCATACAACCATCTAAATTAAATATATTTAATTTAAAATTAATTAAGTACATTTATGGCTAAGTAAAGTAAAGAAATCTTCTTGCCAAAGACGGCATTCTTCTTTTGATGGACATAAAACTGAAGCAGATAAACTAAAGTCTAATTTACTTTTTAAAAAATTAAAAGTTCTTCCAAGCGGCCCTCTTTAAAAGAAAAAAATTAATTTAAAAAATTAATTATTTATTTAATTACAATTGATTTTTTCTTTGTAGTTTATCAGTTAAAGGGGCCGAATTAGTTACAGAATTTCTTTTAATAAATTGTTGAGGTTGTTGAGAATGTTGTTTATTATTTAATTCTTCTTTTTTATTTAAAGGTAATTCTGTTGTTGAAGAAGTAGATGAATATATTTGTTGTTTTTGTGAAGGTTTTGGTGGTAGACGAGAAGAGGAGGAAGTAAAGGAAGAAGAACAATTATTATTTTTATTTAAATTTTCAATATTTCCACCACTTCCATTAAAAGAATCTTCTTCTACATTGTGAACACCTCCTCCATCAATTGAAGAAGTTAAAGAAGTAAAATCAGAACTATCTGTTAATTTTTTTTTAATTACATTTAATCTCTCTCTTTTTAAATTACCAGCCATCATTTGCCTTCTTTTGCAATCAACACCTGATTGAGAAGAAGAAGAATTTGAACAATTATTTAAATTATTTGTAGCTGCTATTTTCTGATTTTTACCAAAATTTGTATTTTTAAGAAAATTTGTTCGTCCTAAATTGGGGACTAATGAAGGCGCCCATTCTGGTTCACTCATCATCTAAAATTTTTTAAATTAATTTTAATTATTTCTAAAGAATTTTGAAAGAATTTTAGCGCGGCATTATTTTTTTAACTTTTTTGCAAATAAATTCAATAAAGAATAGGAGGGGGGGGGAAGAAGAAATTCCCGAATGTAGAAAGGAACGAAAATTGGCAAATAGAATATAAGGACAGAAGAGAACCACAGATGTTCTTCTTCCCTTTTTTTAACTTTATATAAACAAAAAATCCCTTTAAATTTCCCATTTAAATATTTATAAGCTTTTTTCTAGTTAAGCCGATTTTTATTTTTATATTCTAAACGGTTAGCGGCTTTTAAAATCTTTTTATGGACACTAAAATTAAAAGAAGATTGAATTGAGGCTAATGAATTAAAAAGGAATTATTTGGAGAGGGGGGATTGTATTTAGTTAGTACAAAAAAGGGAAAGAATAAATTAGTTAAATTGATATATAAATTAAATTTAAAAAAGAATTAAATTAATTTAAAATAATTAATTTTAATTTTATTTAAATTTAAAATAATATTTATTAAAAATAAATATAACAAAAAATTATTTTTAATAAAAGAAACCATGAAAATGAGGAAGGAAAATTAGAAAAATTAAAAGGAAATATTAAAATAAAAAACAAAACAAAAAAAGATTAATAATAATTTATATATTTATTTATTGCAAAATAAAAATGAATATATTTATTAATTTTATTTTTGAAAAAAAATGTACGGATAATTTGACAAAAATTATTTGATAAATAAAATTAAAGTTTATTTATTTTATTTGATATAATAAAAAATTAAAATAATTATTAGGTTAAGAAATGAAGTAAAATAAAAATTAAGAATTAAATAAGGGCAGGTGAAGTTTTGAAAAAAAAATTTTTCATTTTACATTTAAATCTAAAAATAGTAGGGGTTTTTAAATATTATATAGACTCTCTAGAGGAATAGGGGGGGGGGATTTTTTATAAATATGTACAAAGATGGATAAGGAAGCCTTTAAAAGAATATTTTATGTAAAAGATGAGACCCTAGAGAATGTCAAAAAATATTAAAAAAGTTTAAATATTTAAAGGTACAAAAAACTATTTTTGGATATTTGATAAATTGAGGGAAGTTAAAAAATAAATATTAGAGACCATCAATTTTCCAAGACCAAGACTAGACCCCAAGACCAAGACAGAAAAAAACTCAAGAAAAGTCAAGATTCAAGACCAAGAGTTCTGGAAGTCTCTAATAAATATATTGTAAAAAATTAAAAATATTATTAACAAAAATCTTTAAAATGAAAAGTAAGGTAAGGGAACGAGGAAAAAACATTCAAAATAAAATGTTGAAGACGATAAATATATTTACTCTTTCCAAAATTTAATAAAAAACATATTTTTTTAAAAAAACTTTTAAATACACTTGGGGGGAAAAAGGAAATGATAAGAGGAAAGAGTTTATTTGTCATGTCTAGAGTAGTTTTTCTTTAAAATTTCTTGGCATTTTTGCCTTTCCTTTTTCCTTTACGTCAGAAAAATAAATAAATAAATATTGTTTTTGAAAAACAAAAGGAAATAAATAAATGTTTTTTAAAGAAATGAGTGGGTGTGGAAGCCAAAATTGGTTAAATTGATTTTTAAAAAAATAAAGTGATTAATTGGAAATTAAAATATTTGTTTATTAAACAAAGAAAATCTTTTTTTTTGGATTTATAAACAAATATTTTAATTTTTAGTTATTAAATTTTAAATTTAGGGCTAATTTGCCGTAAATTTTGTTTTTGCCAAAAATAATTTATTTTTTTCTAATAAACAATTTATTGACATAATAATTTAATTTAACAAAAGGATTTAAAAAGAAAAGAGAGACAGGTGCTTATTTTTTTAAATTAATTTGTGGTTAATTTTAACTGTCAAAGATTGATAAAAAAATATTAAGAAAAATAAAAAAAATAAATATTTTTTTATAAAAAATATGAGAGAGATGACGTAATTAAATTTATAAAAAATAAAATAAAATATATTTATTTATTTATTTATTTATTTATTTATTTATTAGTTCCATAATTTTCTGCACCTTTTAAGGAAAAGGTTTAAAAAATTAATCATAAAAAACTTTAAAAGAACTTTTTTAGCCATTTATTTTTTAAAATAAATATTAACGAGTGGGTGAAATAAATTGTTTAAAATAATTTTGAATGTTAAATTTGAAAATTAAAAGGGGAAAGGGGGAAAGAAAAAGAGAAAAAAGAGAGGAGAAATTTTTTAAAAATAAAAGATTTTACTTTAAATGGTGATCCAAAAGAAGAATTACTCGAAATAGAGGAACACCCAGTAACACCAATTTCGTCATAATATTTTTTATGAAGTATATTATTTTGACTTAAATGGCTTTGTTGTCCAAGTCTGTCAGGTAAAAGGAAAAACCCTCCATCACAAATCTTTTTAAAAAGAAAATTAATTTTTAAAAACTTTTTAAAAAAACTTGTATAGATTGTTGTCTTCCATTAATTAAATCATTTTGTTGTTGTTTAGCTATACGGAAAAATTTTCGCAAAGAAAAACTCATTCTTCCAAGTAATTCGGCAGCTCTAAAAATATTTTTTTTAATTTAAATTTCAACAAAATATTTATAAGATTGCTTATCTTCGGGACACGCCCAGCCATAAATAGTTTGAAAATTTCTGGACCCTGACAGTTTTGGTACCAATCTCTAGCTCGATGAATCGTTTAATACTAAATTTTGAAAGATTTCTACTTTCCTACTTTCCTTCGCTCCTTTGTTCTTTCCTTTCCTTTAACTTTTTATGTATATTTTATTTTAAAAAAAAAACCAACGGTGCAATAGCGGCAGAAGGCAAAGAAGAGGAAGTAGAAGATATATTTGTTGGTGTTGTTGTAATATACAAAGATAACCCCAATTTATCTCCATATTGTAAATTAATTGGACTTATTTTAAATTGAAAATCATCAAAAAATTCAGGCCAATTACTTTCCCTAACTTCGCTACTTAATTTTGAACGGAAACGGTGATCGTATTTTGAACGTTTTCTGTTTGATGGACTTCGACGAATTTCCACCTTTTTTAAAAAAATAATAATTTTTTTTAAATTATTTCAAAACTACTTTAACATAACAAGAAGAAGGAGAATTCTCTAAAAACAAAGCCCCATTACGGACATGGACAATTAATAAAGAATTTCCAACAATAGCTACTTGAATAAAAAGAATTCCTTTAATTCCAAAACTTTTTGCTAAAGCAGAAGGCAAATTATATTGTTCGGGGCGAGCAGAAATTGTTGTTGATGAAGAGGAAGATTGTTGAGGAAAAAAAGGATCAAATAAACTTCTGGGAGGGTCTAAAGGAATTACTTGAGGCTACAAAAAAAGATAAATTATTAATTAATTTAAATTAAATTAATTAAATCACCAAATTATTATTAACAATTCCCCCTCCATTCTTTTTTTGTTGTCTAGGATTTGTTCGAGGTAAAAAAGAATGTAAATTAGCCAAAGTAGATGTTTGTATTGGACGCCATTCCCTCCCAATTGATTGTAAAGGTCGAGGTAATGGAGGGACATCAAAATCTTCATCATTTAAATTTGGACGGGGCAAAACTGGGGAGATTTCCTTTATTGAAAGAATTATTTTTAATTTAAGTCCAATTTAAAATTACTTCAACCATTTCAAGTGCCGGAATTCTTTGCGGGGTTTTTTGTTTTTTTAATTTATTAATTAAATTATGATGTCCATTAAATTCTTTTTTATTTTTAATTAAATAATTTGTCATTTCTGTCTCAGAATCACTTAAAGTTAACAATCCCCCTCCTTCATTATTATAATGCCTTCTTGTAGTTAACATTTCTTTTTGTTGTTCAGAATCATCCAAAGAAAGGGAAGAATTATTTGGATAAATTGTTGATAATGATGGAAATTTGCCAAAACTTTTTAAAAAAAATTATTATTTAAAGTTTTTTTTATTAAAAAATTAATTAAAAATTAAATCGTTTAATTAAAAATTATTTTGGTTAGAAAAATAAGAGAGAGAGAGGTTATTTTTAAATGTTTTTTGAGTGGCCGCGCAGTTATTTATTTTTGTCTTTTTTCGGTTAGAATATTTTTTAAATAAAGGGTCATAAAAAATAAAGAAAAAAATAAAGTTTTTATTGGTTATAAATAAATTTAGATAAGAAAAAAGTAAAAGGAAGGAAGTGCCCTTTAAATTAAAAAAATGATAAAAAATAATAATTTAATTGAAATGTCATTAAATTATTAATGAAATAAAAATTTTAATTTTTGAAGTTAAAATGAATGAATTAAACAATAAAATTAGAATATACTTTTTGTCCAAATAAATTTAGGGAAATATTTTAAAATGTTTAAACAGGCATAAATATATTTTTATGTAAAAGAATTGTTTAGCACTATATTTATGTATGTCCATCTCCGCCCAAAATCACTCAAAAAAAATAAATAAACTCTCTTTTTATTTATGGCCAACATACTATTAAACTATAAAAATATATATATATCTTTATTTAATATCAGAGTTTGGACATCTGCGCGCTATACAAAATATAATTTTTAGTAAAATAATTACTAAACTAAATTAGCAATAAATATTCGAGATTCATTTAAAAACTTACTTAATCATTCCTTCATTAATTCCTTCATTTATTCTACCACCTCTATTAATAGAAGAATATTTACAAATTTCAGAATCAGATGTTGTCAAATCCTCAGAACTACTAAAAATCATTAAAGAAGTTTTTGTCTTTTTATTTTCATTATTTTTCCAACAAAAATTATTTAAAGATCCATAAATTAAATCATCAAATTTAATTGGGTTTCCACCATATTTAAAACGATTTGGGGGAGGTTTGGAGGTTTTGATAAAAGAATTAAATCTTCCTTCATTATTCCTTTCCTCTTTTGGCCAATTTTCTTTTAAAGAAGACAAATTTTGAACTTTAAAAAAGAAAAAAGAAAAATAAGTTTAACAGACACAAACGGCTAATTGGAGGGGGACCAAATTCGAGACTTATTGGTTGAGAAAGAGAGGAAGAGGCAGTTCCAGAAGAACAACAATAAGGAGGGGGAGAGTCCATTCTTCCCTTTAAAAAATGTTGCCGATTATTTTGTTGTGGTTTACGGAGAGAAAGTTTTTGATATTCTCGCATTTTAATAAATAAATTGTTGTTAATTTTTGGGGGAAGGAAAAAAATAAAAATAAAATAATTTTTAATATAATCTAAAAAAATATATTTTAAATAAAATTATTAAAAGTTAAATAAACAAAAATATAATTTATTTATTAATTATAGTTTGAGAAATAAAAATATTTTATTTGAGCTAATAAAAAAGCTAATTTAAATTTTGACTTTTTTGAATATAAATAATTGTGAATGTTGTTGTTACACATACATATCTTTTAGATATTTTGTCTAGATTCTCATAAAAATAAAAATGTTATTGAGGAAATTGGGCAATTTCTCGTATTTTAATGAAAAATAAATTTTTAATAAAAAGAAAATTAAATAAATAATTATTATTTGTGTAAAAAGCTAGATTTTTTAACAAAATTTTTATTAAAATTTAATTAGTACATGTATAATAATTATTTTTTTTTGGATTTTATGAGCGTTGCAACCTAATCTGTGTATATTTTTTAATCTTTTTGTAATACTTAATGGAAGAGGAAAAAAAGATTAGCAAAATATAAAAAGAGCAAAAGAATTTTTGGACGTTTGGAGAGGGGGGGAGGGGGGGGGTGGAGGGGGATTATTTAATAGAGACAGAGTTGTTAGATTTTACAAATTTGGTTAAATAAAAAATTGTTTGTAACAATTTTGTGATAAAAAGAATATTTATATGTATTTGTTGCAATTGTTAAAAAAAAAGATAAAACAAATAAATATTATTTTTATTAAAACTTAAAAATCTGAAATCAAAAATTGAATCAAATAATTTTAAATTATTTGTCCAATCTCTTTATTAGTTTTACTTTTTTTGCTTCGTATTTTGTAAAATCCCTATTTTATATATTTGTATTTTATAGCAGAGTAATACAAATAAGAATTTAGGAAAACCTGGAAGGCTTTTAATTACATAAAATTAAAATAAATAGAAAATTATTTTTAAAGTTTAATTAAAGGAATCTAAATATTTGAACACAAAAAATTAATTTATTTTTTATTTAAAAATTTAAGCAGAATTTTGGTGTTCCTCCAGTTAATTATAAGAAGGAAAAGTTAAAAGAACATAAAAGGTAAAAAATAAAAATAATTTAAAAAAATATTTAAAGAGGAAATATTTAAATAATTTAATATTTTAAAAGCAAAGACGTTCAAAAATAAGTAAATGGGCAAGAAGAGTTTAAAGAAAAAATGTTTTTTTCTTTCCTAAACAGTTCTTCCTCCCTCCTTTTTTTCATCTTTAAAGTATTTTTATTGGTAAAAAAACGAAAAAGAAGAATTCTGTGCGCAGGTGCCGGTCTCTAATAAAGTGTAATAAATAGTAGATTTTAAATTGGGGGGAGGACAAAATAAAAATGGAGGGGGGGGGGGGGTTTCTTTTCTTTATTGAAAAAAAAGAAAATTTGCGCTTAGGGAGTAATTTTATTTGGGGGATTGAACAAATAAATTTTGGATATAAAAAAAGATTATAAAGCAGATGGCCAAAAAATAAATAAAAATTATTTAGAAAAAATAAAAGAATTTATTGAATATTTATTTTGAAAAAAGGCGAGAATCGATATAATTTATTAATTTTAAAAAATAATTTTCATTAATAAATTTAATTAAATATATTTATTTATTTATTCCCCATTAATTCCCACGCAATTAATTTTTAAATAGGATAATCTCGTAAAATGGAAATTCTCTAAATTATTTATAGCTAAATTATATTTTAAAAAAGTAAAGAATAAAAGATTTAAAAAAATAAGTATTTTTTGGCTAAAAATAACCAAAAATAAATTTTTTAAAAAAATTAAAAAGAAAATACCGACAAATATTTTTTAAATAAATAAATTTCTTTTTTTACTTAAAATATATATTTTCTAAAAAATATTTCTTTATACATAAATTTTTTAGTTTTTAATATCCCAAGAGAATCTAAATTGAATTTATTTTTTTATTTTGGACTTTTATTCTTCCGTTAAAAACGTTTACAAAGAAAGTTTTTTTTACTTTTTTTTATTAAAAATGGAAAAAAAATCTTTTTTTAATAAAAAATTATTTTTTTATTTAAATTAATTTAAAATATGAATTAAATAATTAAAATTTAAAAACAGGGCTTTCTCATTCGTACTTATTTTGGAACTACTTATAAAATGACCTCCGTACTTATGCAATTAAAAATTACTTATTTGTATGTACTTACAAATGGACTTTTTTGTTAAAAATTAAAATTTAATCTTAAAATTAAAAAAAAATTATTAAAATCCAAAAAAAATATTTATTTATTGATATAAAAAAAAAGAAGAAATTCTTTTTTCCCTCCTATAAATCATTAATTGCTGCTCAAAAGTAATTTATTCCTCTAAAAACCTTTCACTCCCTCCCTTTGTTTGTTGAGGAAAGGTTACAATTAAAAATTTTTCGAAA